TATGCACCCCCATGCCAGGCTAGCCCAGGTAATTATTTAGGGTTACATCCGGGCTCCGCTCCTTACTAGCCGTCCGACCTTGGGCCAGGCGTGAACTCCTAGCTGCGGGTGCTCAGCTCTAGAAAGGAGACAGTGCCCGCCCCTGAGCACCCAATGGTGCCACGTGACACAGGGCACTTGGTCGCCTCCAGAACGTGGGCATTGCAGACGCTGTGGATTGTAGTGCCCCACAGGAATCTTCCGTGCAAGGAGAGACCCCTGGGTACCGCCCAGCCCTGTGGGGTCTCCGGGTCTCCCTCCTGCCCCAGATTCAGACTGAAGGGGTCCCGGCAGTGCCGGAGCCAGTCTCAGCAGTGCAGGGCAAGCGCCCCATCCTCAGCGACAACCCCCACCCTGACCACACACTTCCAACGAACTCCCCCCTTAGACACGCAGCGCCCAGGTCCTCCCTGAGTTCTGACCCTGGGGATCTCTGACCTACAGGTCTGAGCTGGCTCCAGAGTGGTGTCACACCCACTGCTGGGCCTTCTGGGAAGGCCCAGTGAAGGGTCTGGAGAGTTTAGAACCCGCACCAGGTGGGTCAGTCCTTGGGGCCATCCTCCCGCCTGTCCTCTCCCCACCGCCTTTGGGGTCTCTTCAGGGTCAGGGTGCTCCACGCCTCACCTGGCCACCCGAAAAGCCTGGGCCCTGAGACCTGGGGGGTGAGGGGGCAAGGCTGTCGCGCCTTGGATGCCAGGGCTTCGGCTTCAGGGGGTCTTGGGGCAGCTAGGTCCAAGCCGGGGAGGGAGGCCCCGGGCCCAGCAGCCCTTTCCAGATCCAGGGAGCAACTTCCGGCCAGGACGGGGCATGGACACAGCACTCCTGAAAATGCGGAGAAGCAAAGCCAGCTCCAAGCCGCGCTTGTTCCTCCTCTTCCATAGTAGGCAAGTTTCTCTCTTCTTAGCCCCAAGGACAGAACAGAACTGGGGGACTCAGCAGCAGGCAGGGCTTTTCAGCAAGCCCCCACCTTAGCTTTCATTCCACTAAAGCAAATGCTGTGGCATGGTAAACCTAACACCAGGATGTGAGTTAGGGAAAATGAACTTTGTAAAATGAATATTGTCAAATTTTTTATTTATGAGAAACGGTCTCGCTATGTAGTTCAGGCTGGCTTTGAACTCACAATGTAGCCCTGGTTGACCTTGAACTCGCGGCGATTCTCCTGCCTCTGCCTCCCGAGTGCTGGGTGGGCTCAATATTGCCATTTTAACAGCTTCCGATTCCTGAAAGCCCACTGCAAGCACTGGGCTGAAGGCTAGACAACGAGTAATTATGACGCCCATCTGGCCGGAGAGGCCAGACTTGCAGCCCCCAAGTGAACCAGTGTATTTGGTGGAGGCGAGGAGATCAGACACCGCAGCTTGTTTAGATTCTGAAATCCGGACGGTCCTTGCTCGCAAACAAAAAAATCGAGAGCCCCAACGCTCGCGGGGCGGGGCGATCCGGATGCGGGGCGTGGCGATCCGGGCGCTGGGCGTGGCGATCTGGGCACTGGGCGTGGTTACCGGTGACCACGCCCGTGGCGCCCGGAAGTGACGTACAGGGACGAAGGCAGCGCGTGCCAAGTGGTGTCTCGTTTGGTTGCGGAGTAGCGGAGCCGTCGCTGCGGTCGCCCTCCCTTCCTCTCCCGCGTCCTCTTGTCCCCGTCCCGGGAGGCCCCGCCCGGGGTGAGTAGCGCGAGGAGGAGGGAGGGGAGGCGGCTGCCGGGAGAAGGGGGGCCCGACCCCAACTGCCTCGGGCCCCAGCCCCCCATGTGTCCCGGGCGCGTGCGCGTCGCCGGCTCGGGCCCCACGTGCTGTCCCCGGAGATCCGGCCGGACCTGGGCCGGGACAGAGGGGACCACGGGGAGGAGGAGGGGCGCCAGCTCTCAGAGCCTGGGTTCCGAGCCTCAGTTTCCCCTCCGAGACTCGTGGCGGGGGATAAGGAGAGCGCCGCTGGGAGGCGGGGTGTGAGGGATCGGAAGAACGCCCGGCACCGCCCGTGCGCAGGAGTTGCGGTCATAGTCAACCCCGGGCACAGGTGCAGCTGGAAAGACAGCTGTCGCCAAAGCCCTTGGGGCTGAGGTCAGCAGGTTTGCAGGGACGGCGTCCGGGTCGCCACCCACCCGCGGTGCGAGCTCTGCTCTCCGGTTTCTCTGTACAGTGAGGGATTGAAGCAGCCCTGGTCCGGGCTGCGACGGTGGGCTGGGACACCTGCTTTCCATACGGTCTCTCTGCCCACTCTGGGGGTCTGGGAACCGAGGAGGACGAGGCCACGTCTTCTCTAAGTGCACACAGCCAGTGAGCACAGCCGATTCAGACCTGGTGCATCTCGCTGTATTGGGCCTTTTTTTCTTTTTAATCTTCCCTCATTTCTATTTTGTTTTGTTTTTCCAGTATTTCATTCTGTTCTGTTTGTTGCAGTACTGGGGAGTGAACCCAGGGCCTCAAATTGAGCTACATCCTCAGCCATTTTTAGTTTTTATTTTGACACAAGCTGTCTAGATTTGCTAAGTCTCTGAGTTGCCCAGGCTAGCCTCAAACTTGGCAGTCCTCTTGCCCCAGCCTCCGAGATTCCTGGGATTACACGTGTGCACCACCACAACCTATTTTGGGGGTTTTTGTTATTGTGGTTGTTATGTTAGAGACAGAATCTCACTATGTAGTTCAGGCCAGCCTTGAACTCGCTATGTAGCCCAGGCTGGCCTCAACTTGTGGCAGTCCTGCCTCAGCCTCTGGAGTGCTGAGATTACAGGCGTGCACTACCACTCCCAGCTTTTTTTTTTCTTTGCATTTTTAAAGGTAGGGTCACACTGATAGCTGGCTTCAAACTCTCAACCCTCCTGCCTCAGCCTCCGAGTGCCACCGCGCTTGCTCCCTTTTTTACTTTCCATGGAGCATGTGCTTTGCTTTCCCCGCACAGATCTGGGGGACAGTTAACTCGCAGAGAGGTTTTATCTCCTGTTGCTTCCAGACTTTTTTAGCAATGTCGCATGGGGAGACTGAAGTGACTACAGGAGTCTGTTGGTGACAGTGTGGGCACAGCCAGATGGTGGCCCTGGGCTTGCTGGGCCCTGTGGCTGGGCCGCTCCTCACCGTGCTGAGGGCAGAGTATAGGTGACACCATCCCCTGCCCGACCTTGCTGTGCCCTCTGACTTCTCGCGACCTGGAACAACCTGCCACTCAGACATGAACCCTGAGGGCCACGTGTGGACAGGACAGGAATCTCATTTCCTTGTGAGTCAGTGCTGGAGCAGGTGTCAGCGTGGGCCTTGGCATTTCCCGGCCGAGCTGGGCCTCCCGGGCCGTTCCTAGAATCTGTGTGCAAGTGGATTCTTGTAAATTAGATTATGCAGGGACCCTGACATTTAAAGCAGTCACATCATAGGGCTTTTGGTAAGACAGAAAATCACACTGGCAAATCAGCCTTCAGCTTCATCGGCTTGGAATGGTTGGACTTTCGTCCATAGGATTTTCTTAAAAGTAGAAGATGGTCACAGCTGTATAAAACCCTTCTGTTCATCAACCAGCAGCCAATTAGCAAACCCCTGCCTTAAGCTGGACACTGAGATGGAGGTGCAGAGGGTCCTGTGCCTGCCCCTACCCGTCCTGCTCCCGGAGGCTTGCCGACAGCAGGGAGTGCGCCCCGGGAAGTCACCCCAAATTGTTCTGGTATTTGCTCCCAAATGAGCTTTTTGTTGGACACTCGGGTGCTGCGAGGGACATAAGACAAATGCGGTAGTAAAGCCCAGCATGTCGGTGCTGCCCTCGTCCGTGTGGAGCTTCCTGTCTGGTGGGGAAGCAGAGCTGAACAGAAAGCTGTAGTTCCTCAGGCTGCTGGGTGGCCAAGAGTGAGGACAGGGCTGGCGGCGCCCTGTCCTCCGGTGATCTCTGGAGGCTGACTTGGTTGCTGTGGACCTGCTGGCAGGGAGTAACAGCTTACTTGGCCTTAGGCCCTCAGACCCACCCGGTGACGGGGACGCTGGGGCTGGTGGGCGCTCTATCAGCTCTCGCCTGGAGCCTTGCACCTGGCAGCCTCCACATTCTCACCAAGTCCCTCGGTGGAGCGAGGGGCGTTGCGGCCCCTGTGCCCTTTCTGCCTCTAGGCCGAGGCTCCCGGACACCGGTGTGGAGCACGGTAGTGAGCCCCGGGACAGTGTGAACCGCAGGCCCCTCGGTCAGCGCAGTGCCAGCAGTGGCTCCTGTTGTGGCCCAGCTGAAGAACCTGCGGGGGCTGAGCGGGCTTCTGTGTGGGCGCAGAGAAGGTCTGGTGAAGTCACAGGCCTTAGAGGACAGCCTGGCGGGGCACACAGCTGCGGGCAGCTCAGCAGGCCGCCGCATGACCTTGTCCCTGAAGAATGTCCAGTCTGACACAGGAGTGGGCTGGGGTTGGGAGGTGGGGCCCCCCGCCCTGCGCCCCGCGGGCTGCCCAGGGAGCTAAGAGCTCTGCCAAGGCGGCTTCAGGAAGGCTCCTCAGGATGCGTATAGAGCAGTGGTGCGTGGGGCTGGGAGTGCGTGCAGCGGAGGGCAGGGGGGCGCGCTGCCGTTTTCCTGTCCGCCCTTCGAGTGTGCCGACCTCTCTGAGCAGGGGAGCCGAGGCCGTGTGCTGGTCCTGGGCCCTTTCCTCTTTCCTGACTTCACCTGTAGCCCCCGGAGCACCCCAGACTTAGGGGCTCTCCTTTCTTCTCTTCTCTTTCTCTCCTTTATTCGTTTTTTTTCTTTCTTTGCCCCTCTTCAGTTTTTTCTTTACAGGCTGAGAACTGGGGTCTGAACCCAGGGCCTGTGCACTGAGCTACACCTCCAGCCCTTTTCTGTCTTTTGTTTTGAGATGGTCTCCCTAAGTTGCCTGGACTGGGCTCAGACCTGTGATCTTCCTGCCTCAGCCTCCCAGAGTGCTAGGATTACAGACATGCACCAACACGCCCGGCTAGGCTCTTTCTTTTAGTTGTTTTTGAGCCGCATCGAGTTGCATGTGTGGGTTCTCTGTGAGCCTTGTGGGCCCAGGGCTTCGTGGCTTCCTGCTGGTGTTGTGCGAAGGTGACCAGGGAGAAACAGCACCTCTGCTCCTGCCTGGGCTCCATCATTTTCCTCCTGAGCCTCTGTGCAGAGACACCGTGGGGAATGGAGGAGGCACAGGCTGCGAGATTCGACAGGATTGCAGGTGGTAGGACAAGCGTCGGGTGGGGGGGTTCCCATAGGCAGGGAGAGGCCACAGCCATGCCACGCCCACAGCCCTCTGCTCTTCGAGACTCGGGATTGGTTTCCCGTTAGCGACAGCCTCGGTCCAGGGCATCGTGCATGTCCTCAGGGCCCGCAGAACAGGCCACCTGCCACCCTAGACTCGCTGCAGTGTTCCCTGCCCTGTCCTACTCCCCGCACCTCCAGCCTGCGCGCTACACTGCTGTGGCTGCTGCCCTGCACCGAAGTGCTGCACGGTCAGGGCTTGCCCTGGGCTGGCCCCACAGCAGGCAGGCGAGCCCAGGCTGGGGAGGGGCCCTTCCTCTGACCTCTGTGTCCCACAGGGCGGGCTGCTGAACCCGCACCCTTCTCCTGAGGGCACGGTGCGCGGCACACCCATTGCCAGGGCCCAGAGGTAGCTTTATGGTGCCCTCTCCGTCCATCCACTGCCGTTGCCCCCCTCAGACTGCACAGCAGCCAGTGGAGTTCAGGCTCCTTGGGGTGAGGTCTGCCCTACCAAACGAGAGCGAGACCTGGGCTCTGCCTGCCCAGCGGCCCTGTGCTCCTCTGCCGGCTGAGCCACCGCCTCCTACCCGCTGGCGGAGCTGTGACCTCCCCGGGATCCGTCCCTGCCCCATCTTGCAGCCGCTGCTCACCCTTGCCCTGCCGGCGCTCCATCCTCGGCTTCCTGCCAGGCTGGCTCCACTGTCGCCGCCGTGCTGCGGGGCAGCCTCCGTCCCCGCCTCCGTGTGGCCCAGGGTGTGAGCCCCGCCGGGCTCGCGCAGGCCTGCCCCTGCTGGAGCCCCTGTACCGGGTCCCCAGTGTTCTGCGAGTGGCGGGAGCAGGGGACAGAAATGCTCTGGACCACAGGGTAGGACACAGGTCTAGGACTCTGGAGGGTCCCCCAGGGTAGGAGCGGGCAGGCGTGTGGGCGCGATGTCTGGGGTGAGGCCAGCCCTCGTCCACGGGGCTTCCTGGCCGCTGACTGGTCCGTTCTTGTCAGGACAGCGCCTGCAGGCTGCAGACGCGGCGGCAGCATGACGAGCGAGGTGATCGAGGACGAGCAGCAGTTCTACTCCAGGGCGGCGCTGTACTGGAAGCAGGTCCCGCCCACGGTGGACGGCATGCTGGGCGGGTACGGCCACATCTCCAGCATCGACCTCAGCAGCTCCCGGAAGTTCCTGCAGAGGTTCCTGCGGGTAGGCAGGTCCCCCCTCGGGAGAGGCTCCTGCTCTAGGGGACACTGGGGCTGTGCACAGGGAGAGCCAGGGGACGGGCGGGATACGACCTTTACATGAGGCCAGAGCCGGGGTGACGCCAGGGGCACTGTGACTGCCCACATAGGCCAGGCCCGGCTGTCCTGCAGGACCTGGGCTGCTCGGAACTCCCCGCAGAGCACCGGAGGCCGCGCTGGCCTGCGTCCCCTCACCGCCCGTCCTCCCCTCGGTGCGCACGACCGCCACTCCTCCCTTCTGCATCATTCCACACTGCACTCCCGTTCCCTTGGGCTTAAGGAGGGAGAAGAGACCAGTGCATTTGTTTGTGTTATTACCTTTAAGCGGAAGCTTTCATTCTGGAAATGTGGGGCCCCCGCCAGGTGCAGTGGTGCACAGCGGTAATCTCAGCTGCTTGTGAGGCTGAAGCAGGAGGACTGCAAGTTTGATTCCAGCCTGAGCAACTTTATGAGGCCCTGTCTACGACTTTAATTTAAAAATGCCTGAGGGATCACTGAGTGGCATACATGAGGCTCTGGGTTCCATCCCCAGTGGGAAGGGTTCGTGGCCCAGAGGAGGGATTCCCCACGTTCACCCGGCCTGCTCGTGCCGGTCCTTACCACATGTGATGCTCGTGCAGGCAGGGGCCCTGTGAGTTACGTGTTTGCTCTGCTTCCCAGGAAGGCCCGAACAGGCCAGGAACTTCCTATGCCTTGGACTGCGGAGCAGGCATCGGGAGAATCACCAAGCGGCTGCTGCTGCCGCTCTTTGAGGTGGTGGACATGGTGGATGTCACAGAGGACTTTCTGGCCAAGGCCAAGACCTACCTGGGGGAGGAGGGCAAGAGGGTGAGGAATTACTTCTGCTGCGGCCTGCAGGACTTCAGCCCTGAGCCTGGCTCCTACGACGTCATCTGGATCCAGTGGGTGATAGGTGAGGGTCCTGCTGCCCTCCTGCCTCGGCTTCCTTCCAGCAGGCCTCTGTTTTGAGACAGATTTGTCATGTACCCTTGTACTTGTTCAAGATTGGCCTTGAATTTACCATGATCCTCCTTGCCTCAGCCTCCCAAGTGCTGGAATTACAGCCGTGCACCACTATGCCTGGCTAGGGGCAGTTTTCTGTTGAGAAACTGCAAGTGGCTCAAGACCTGCATTCAAAGAAGGGCACCTGAGCTGTGTGTGGGCTTGCGGGTTGAGGATGAGACATCTGAGCCGGGCTGTGCCTGCTGGGCGCAGTGAGCCATGCTGTTTTCTCCCATCCTGCCCGCAGGCCCTCACTGCTCACCTAGAATGTGGTGTCCCTGGCTGGGACCTGGCACCAGGCGCAGGCCACTGTGGCCATGGTTAGGCCAGGCCCAGAGGGAAAGGGGCATAGGACGTGGCATCTGGCAGGGCCAGGAGGAACCCTGTCGGGCTCAGCCCCAGCATCAGGCTTAGTGCAGACTTTGTGCAAGTGACTTGGTTTTTTTTGGTCCTAAGAGTTGAACCCTGGGTCTTCATACTGAGCTACATCCCCAGCCCTTTTTTATTTTTGAGATAGGGTCTTGCTAAGTTGGCCATGCTGAGTTTCAACTCGCCATCCTCCTGCCTCAGCCTCCCATAGTGCTGCGGTGACAAGCATGCACCACCATGCCCTGGCCCAGGGGAGTTGAAGGTGACTTGTAGGTGACTTCTGAGCTCATTCTTCTTACATGGAATGGGGCTCGGGGGTGAACCCCGCGGTAGCCTGCAGACCCACACAGTGCACCCCAGTAACCGTGCCTCTGCCCTCCCCAGGCCACCTGACTGACCAGCACCTGGCCGAGTTCCTGCGGCGCTGCCAGCGTGGCCTGCGCCCCAATGGCCTCATCGTCATCAAGGACAACATGGCCCAGGAAGGCGTGATCCTGGACGACGTGGACAGCAGCGTGTGCCGCGGCCTTGAGGTGGTCCGCAGGATCGTGCACAGTGCGGGGCTCAGACTCCTGGCCGAGGAGCGGCAGGAGAACCTCCCGGACGAGATCTACCACGTGTACAGCCTGGCGCTGAGATGAGACGTGCTGGCCTTCAAGCCGGACCAAGCCCAGGCAGGGTGAGCAGCTGGTGGGGCCCAGGCCGCGCCCACAGCTCCAGCTCGGTGTGGAGAGCCTTAAACACCTGTCCCGCCCACTTGCCTACACTCCTTCCCGGGCACAGGCCAGGAGGGTGCCCGTGGGAGAGGCCAGGGCTGCTTCCCCTGAACCTGGCACTCCTTGTGCTGGACTTGTGGTCACGCCAGGGGCCTTGGGCCTGGCTGCCCTTCACGTGCTTATGCGGACCAGAGTGGGGAAGATGTGGTCAGCGCCCAGGGGAGGGACACCTGCACCTCCTCTCCCGGGCGAGCCCGGCATGGCACCTGCCATGTGGCACTGCTCACGTTCCACGCCCTTCTGGTCACAGGATGCTGCTGGCCCTAAAGGGGTCGTCACAACAGCCTATGGCCGGAGATGTGTGTGGCTTCCTCTACTGCACGTGGGGGCTCCCGTTTGGGGGACACTTTCAGTCAAATAAAGGGTGCATCCCTGTACCGTGGTGGCCAAGCTAGTGTGCAGTGCTCTGTGGGGATGAGTGCCAGGCCCCTGGGCAGCTGTCCCCCGAATGTCATGTCTCCCGAGTGCCATGCGCTCAGGGCCGTGCTGGGTCCTTCATACCAGACGGCGAGGGAAGGGGCTGGAAAGGTACACAAGGACCCCAAGGCCAAGAGAATCACTTTAATCTGTGATATAAATACGCCACTTCGCTGCCTCGGCTCTCTCCCAGAGGCCTTTACACAATTTGCGGTGGCCAACCGCGTGGCCAGGAAGTGGCTTGGAGGTCTGGCCCTAGGCTGCGCAGCAGGTAATAGGCCTGGTGGCTGGCTTCGGGAGCCCTTGGGATACGACTGTGCCACCACCATTCAGCAGAAGGCATCGTCCCCAGGCCTGGAGTGGCAGCAAGGGGGGGTGCCTGTGACACCTCCGGAAACAGCAGCCTGGGCTGGCCTTGCGTGTCTTCTCCGCCACTCAGCAAAAGTACTTCCGGGAGTGACACTGGAGTGGGACAGGGCCTGGCTGGTAGGACGCACCCTGGCTTCCTGCGGCAGGCTCATTGCATCCCACATGGGACTTGGGACCCCAGCCCCCAGCTCGGGGTGCCTGGACTCTGTGCTGCCTGCTCCCGAAAATGCCCAGGTGCTCCCACCCTGTGGAGGAAAGGACGCAGGCTCCCCCAGGCTTCCCCACGGGACGGACCCTGCCCTCAAGCTGACGCAGTGCCCAGACCCGCCACCTGGCCGGCTCCCGTCAGCTGTCCTCCTCAGCCATGCCGCTGTGCTCGCTGAGGAGGAACCACTTGAGCCTGTCAGGCAGGGGCAGGGCCTTGACCTTCGTGTCCACCGGCCACGGCTGCAGGTGGAGCCGGATGTGCACGCGGCACAGGTGCTTGAGGGATGGGGGCCGGAGCTCCAGCTGCCGCAGGGAGTGGTGCAGGGCCTGGATCTTGTCGGCCAGGCTGCCCACCGGGTGGATGTCAAAGTTCGCGGGCAGCTGGAGCCGCCGGGAGTTGGTCACCATGAGGTCCAGCGCAGTCTCGGCCTTGCGCAGGAGGTCTGCGTGGCTCTCGTCCTCGGCGCAGCCGGGATGCGAGCAGAGCCTCTCGAAGATGATGTGGAAGCCAGACCAGCAGGATGCACCGTGCAGGGAGCAGTTGTAGGCGGCCCCCGACTCCAGCAGGAAGCGCAGGAGCTGGAAGTGTAGCTTAAAGCTCTTGAGGCAGATGTGCGTGAGGGACTCGTGGGCCGGGCACTCGCTGGGGTCGGCCCCGTGCGCCAGCAGCAGCTGCGTGACTTGGAAGCAGAAGCGGTTGATCATCTGGGCCTCTTCCTTGTCCCCGCCCACGGTCTCCCCGAGCAGGAAGATGATGCAGGTGAACACAGTGTCCCCATCTTTGGTGGTGGCCTTGACATCTGCTCCTGGAAGAGCCATTGGAAGAACAGGATGGGAGGCGGCCGTGGGCCTGGCCAGCAATGCAGGGGGTGGGGCAGAGCCACTGCTGGGGGCAAGCGGATGGGGCCTGGGGACGTGGCCGAGCCTCACCTCCCTCCAGCAAGAGCCGGATGTTGTCTGTGTTGTGGACCTGCACTCCGTCGCTGCTGGCCAGAGCGTGCAGCAGAGCTGTCTTCCCTGAGGAGGCAGAGAGGGTCAGGAAGGGCTGTCAACCCACGGGGAAGGGTAAAAGGAAGGGGCTTACCGGGGCTGGGGCAGGAGAGGTAGTTCTGTGCACCCCGAGTGCTACCTCAGACCTGGCCGGGTCTCCCAACAGGAAGCCCCTACTCCTGGGAAGCTGGAACTTGCCTTCTCCCAGGGGCAGCCCCTGGGGACAGTGACCACACAGCCTTTCCAGGGCGACCACCCCACCCCAGCTACCTATGTGCCAGCCATGCCAGACTGTTGGCAGGGGCTGGCATCCTGCTGTTCACCTAGTGTCCTCACCTGGGCTACCTCACCCCAAGCCACCCATTGCCCGCAAAACCACCCACCATGCTTGTCGGCTGCGTTGACATCGGCTCCCAGCTCCAGCAGGCGCTGCAAACATGGCAGGCGCTCAGGCTCTTCGCTGGCCAGGTCCAGGGGGCTGCTCTCATGGATCTGAGCCCAGAAACACCAGCCGGGTTGGCCCAGGGGCTGCCAGGCTGCTCGAACCCCATCCCGCCCACAGCAGCAACACCCACTCATACCCGGTCCCGCCGGTTGATGTCAGCCCCGTGGCGCACCAGCAGCTCCACCATGTCGGGCTGGTTTCGAAGGACAGCGATGTGCAGGGCCGTGTAGTAGGTGACTGGGTCTGCAGGAGGCCGTGCTGCAGTCAGCTCAGGGCCAGGCCCAGGCCCCACCTCGTAGCAAGTAGTCAGGACACAGCTGTCCCTCAGCTGCTAGGACGGGCGTCCCAGGGGCTGCTCCTGAGCCTAACTGGGCCTCAGCTTCCTCTCCTGTCTAACGGGGCCATGAAACAGGGCCTCCTCTCCTGGGACTGCTGGAGGAAGCCGGCAGTGCGCAGGTTCTCAGGGCCAGGTACCCACCTAGGACCTCAAGATCCCCCCACTACCCCTGGAGCCCAGAGCCCCTAGCCTCTGCCCCACTGCACCTGGGTCAGCAGAGCCCCATCACTCCCAGGGCAGCCCTGCCAGCTGACTCTCCACCCTCCGCCCTGGCTGCCACCCGGGGAGGCAGGAGGTTGGCCTGTCGGCTTTCCCGGCACCATCAGCCGGGAGGAAGCCTGCACGTTCTTGCTCCCCCAAAAGTATGAACAAAGTCATAGAAGAGCTCAAAGTGGGGACAGAAAATTGCCTTCCCGCAGTGCCAGGCGCAGTGCCTGCAGCCACACCTCCACACCCACAGGAGGGGGTTCGCCTGGGATGGACACCCAGCTACAGCCGCACAGGGCCAAGGCAGAGCACGCTGGCTCAGGGGACAGGTGCAGAGACCCACTGGGGAGCCACAGGGGCAGCCCAGAGAATTGAGTCCCGCCAGCGCTCCAAAGAGGACAAGGGTGCTGCCCCGCTGACCTTCGAAGTTGAGGTTGGCCCCGCTGCGCAGGAGGACAGCGGCCGCCTGCGTGAGTCCCAGCTCAGCCATCTTGAGCAGCGCGTTGCTCACGCCCTCCTGGTAGAACGGGGAGTGGGCCTTCTTCTCCAGCAGCTCCCCCAGCACGTGGAGCCGGCTCTCCTCACTGGCCACGTACTGATGCCTGGGCGGTGAGAGGGGACCCGCTGAGGGAGGAAGCAGCGTGGGACTGGCTGCCCCAGGCGTCTGGGTGGGGTGTTCTTTCATACCATGCAGCAATCACCCTGAAAACAGCTGGAACCGAGGGGCAGGAAGGCTTCCCAAGGAGGTGTGAGACAGAGAAATGGCCGAGCTGAACTGACAGTCCATCTGTCCATCCTCCCACCCCTGAGGACTGAACTCAGGGCCTCACACAACAGGCAAGTGTCCTAACACTGAGCTGCTTGCCCAGCCTTTTTAAACATCATCCTTTGCAGACAAGGTCTCCCTGCGTTGCCCGGGCTGGCCTAGAACTTTCAATCCTCCTGCCTTGTAGATGGTACTACAGGCGGGTGCCACCATCGGGCCGCGCTACACCTCTTAGCCTGCAGCAGGCTCCTCCCTTGGGCTTGCTGCCAAAGGACTGGGTCTGTTCAGTTGTCTTCCGAGCTCCGCAGAGAATCTGGCCTCACAATGGGGTGTCGGACTGAGGGGAGCCCTGGGGGTCACGACCCACAGCCAGACAGACGCTCATTCCTCAGGAGCCCCACTCGGGTCACTGATCCTCTCGGAGCTGCAGGATGCCAGGCCTGTCCTGCAGCAGAGCCTCCTCCGGCTGAGGCCTTCGCAGCCCTGCGCCGACCTCTGCACCTTGCCCGACTAGCTCTGACCACCATGAGCTGCTGTGCTCGTCCCCAAAACTAAGCCAAGGTCAGCTCCGAAGCTTGCACGCAACTCCCACAATGTCCCCAACTCCTTCCAGCTGCCAACTCCCCCGCTGGCTGAGGCTTCCCTTCTCTCACAGCGCCCCTCCCCCTCGCCCCCCAGCCTCACCCACCTGCACCCCTCCAGCTGACTGGTACAAGGCCCCCCTTAGTGCAGGGGCAGGAATCAAGCTCCTCCCTCCGCTTCCATCCCAGCGCTAAACCGGCATCTGGACAGAGTTCCTGCAAGGCGTCTGCAGTTCCCCACAAACGCCAGCAGCCACCACCAGCACCCCTCAGCTCCGGAAACACCCTGCACTGTATTTGCTCACTGAAAGGTGGCAGAGCTGGCGTGGTGGGAAAGAAATTCTCTGTTGCCACCAAGTCCCCGAGAGACTGCTAATCATCCCAGGCTGAAACTCCGGGGACACCCCGCCCCCACGCCTCTCTGCTCCTCTCCACCGCGCCCCACGCATGGCGCAATTTACCCCAGTGCGCACCACGAGTGCCAGCGCCGCGGACGATGCATGGGGACGACGCTCCACGCCTTCCGCGCACTGCACGGAGGGCTGCGCTGTCTGCACACATGCAAATTCAGCTCATCATCGCCCTGCTCGGGGGTGAGAACTGCGGCGCTCGCGGCCTCCATCCCGCTCCCCTGCACAGGGCGAGGCCCGGCGACGCCTCAGCCTCCGTCCTGCTGCCCCTTGGCACCGGCCTGGGTCGCCGCGCCGGGCCGCTCACCCGTCCAGGGGCTCCTGCCGCTCGGGGTCCTGGATCCCCAGGGCGCCCAGGATGGCATCCACCAGCGGCTGGTACTCGAAGATGATCCTGCGGAAGCCGTGCAGGAACGGCATCGTGGCGGCCCGGGCGCGGTGGTGCAGCCGCGCCTTCTGCTCCGGCCGAGACGCCAGCAGGGCACTACCGGCTCCACTGTTCCCTGCCCCGCGCCCGTCCGGGTCCACCGCCCAGGCAGCCGCAGCGCGCCGGAAGTGATCTTCAATCGCACTTCCGGTCCGCGCAGACGCAGGAGCGTACTTGGACCCACAGCGCCCCCTGAAGGGTCGGAGGACCGCGGCGCGTCTCTGGGGCAGATCTGTGGCTGTCCCAGATGTGGCTCAGCCGAGCGTCGACGCGGGCTCGATCCCAGCAGGATCCCAACTCCGGGCGGCCCGTCTTCCCACCCCAACCCGGCCGTCCTGCCCTGCCCTGCTATCCCGCACGCCGCCGCTGGGCGCCGTCCGAGCTCCGCCCACGGGGAGGGTGTGAGAGCACCGCCCAGCAACCCGGGGGGACCGAGCCGCAGCGCCCCAAGCCGGTCGCGGCTGCCGGCCCAGGACGGGACTAGGCACGTCGGTCCCCACGCGGCACGCTGTGGGCAGTGACGAGCGTCCTCACACACAAACACACACTGGCCTGGGGGCAGCATCTTGGTGGGTCACCGAACTTCCTTCTGTGAAATGGGGACTCTCGCGCCCGTCCGAGATCGGGGTCCAGTGCCCCGAGGGTGTCGGGGAGTTGAGCCCAGCAGCAAAGGTCCAAGGTGGGACCCAGGCATCCTCCCTCAGGCCACTGCTTGGACGTTGGGGATCCCCAGCCCCACAGCCGAGGCCTGACTTCTGGCTTCAGCCCGATTTGTCTCATAAACATTAAACAATGGGCAGAGCAGGAACCTCTGCCACAAGCAAAATTGACTTCCCAAAACAAGGCCGTCAAAAAGCGTGCCCGGGGCCAGCCATGGCGTCCCGCAGCCAGCATGCACGACAGGGGCTGGATAATTGCTCCCTGCATAGTTAGCAAGGCTGTGCAATCGAGTGACAAGCTGTCAAAGCCCCCCAGGCAGTCAAAACCCCTAAAGGGTCAGGGAAGGAAGCAGCCGGGTTAAGTCTCTTCAGGGCTGGGCCAGCTTGGGTTTCCCGTGGCAACTTCTAGTCACCTGTGTTCAAATTCAAGGTGGATGTTCCCTATTAAAACGGTACAGCTCCTGCCACTGCCAGCTTCGGAGACCCTGGGGCTGGGCACCATTAGCCCACTCTCTCTCTTCCGTCTGCCCATGACCTCATTTCTTCGTCTGGGTCTCTGTCCAAATCATGTCTTCCTTTCTGAGTGACCCAATCATTGGACCTGGAGCCCCCCAGACTCAGCGTGACCTGCTGTTAAATTGATCACATTTGCAAGAATTCCTTTCCAAATAAGGTCCCTTAGCTGGGCGCGGTGGCCCATGCCTGTAATCCCAGCACTCGGGAGGCTGAGGCAAGAGGATTGCCGTGAGTTTGAGGCCAGCCTAGATTACATGGTGCGACCGTGTCTCAAAAACAAAGAAAAAGCCAAATAAGGTCACTTTCCAGGTACCCAGGCTAGGACTTGAACTTCTTTTTGGAAAACAGGACACTATTAAGGGCATTATAGTACCCAGGTATGGTGACACACGCCGTAATCCCAGCACTCAGGAGGCTGAGGCAGGAGGATCACTTTGAGTTTGAGGCCCACCTGGGCTACACAAGCAAGTTCAAGGCTAGTCTGGACTACATAGTGAGACCTTGTATCAGAAAAACAAAAACAAACTAAACAATTAAGGCCATTATAATGGCAACACTAGGCTTGGGCCTTCTGGCCTGACAGTGCTGGATGTAGTTAAGAGCTCCTGATATCACCCATGGGATCTGCCAGCCAAGGGCTGGGAGTAACCACGACACAGTTCCCTGTGTTTATGGAGCCCTAAGAGCCAGGCCCTATGCTGAAAGTGGGACCTGTGGGTCCCAATCCAGCAAAGCCTATTAAGTAGGTGATATTACACCCCATTTCTGGAGCAAGGAAACAGGCTCAGAGAGGTCTGGGGGCTTACACAACACAGCGGGGGGACTTCAGCCTCCCTGTGCCCCCCTTTGGCACGCAGGGCCTCACGGTTCTCCTGCACTGAAAGGGAGCTGGACGTGCAGTGGGGGAGCTGACCTCTGCCCTCCCACAGAGCTTGGGCACCACCCTGGCACACAGACCTGTTGCCCGCTGTCCCCCAGGCTTCTGTTGTGCGAGGACCCCCGCCCCTGGACTGCCCGCCTGTCAGCAGAGACAGCCTGGGTTCCTCCGCCTGCCTCTTGCTAAGGCTGTCACTCTGAGCCCATTTCAGTCCTGACCCTTCCCTCCCCTTCCCTTGCCAGTGCCCCCATGCCCGGCCCAGTCCAGCCCTTCCTGCTACCCAACTCCAGGGTTCTCAACCCGATAGGACTCTTGGGGACCAACACCCAGTGCCCAGGTCCCCAGGGAAGCACTCTGTCCTAGGCACGGGCACAGCATTCACACATAAGGAGCTGTCAAAAGTCAACAAGAAGGCAAAGCCCCATTACAACATGGGCAAAGAACATGCGCAGAAGAGCCGCAAGGACAAAAAAAGTCTAAGAAGAAAAAGAGAGATGGCCAGCTGCTCTCCAGCAGGGATAACAGCTAAAAGATAGGACTTGCTGCACGTGAGACCCTTGTCATTCAACAGAGCAAATTACAGAAGAGGGGGCACAAATTTGTGTGCGATCGATTTGGGGGGTTGTGCATGCGCGTGTGTGTGCATCTGTGCACGTGTGCGTGTGTGTGAATGGTCAGATTTCATCCTTGAAAGTCCCATGCTGAGCTGTTATAGGTTGTTATTTCTGGGACCCAGGAGCTTTAATCTTCTTTCTGTTTCCTGTGTCTTCTACCTTTTCTGCAGTGAGTGTTTTCAGGGCTTCGAGAGGAAGGATCCCCCAAAGATTCATGTGATGAGGGCCTGACCCCCAGTGCCGCATGTTCCACACAGGAGTCTGGAAAGGTAGCTGAGCATGAACCCACACATTTGTGAGCTCAGAGCTGAAGGGGCTCCTGGAGGTTGGCAGAGGCAACTGGGGAGATGGCTTGAAGGGCACATCCCGAACCCACTCCTTCCTCTCTGGCTCCTCCCTCTCTCTGCTTCCTGGCCATCCTAAAGCGAGCAGCTCTCCTCCACCAGGTCCTTCTGCCACGCTGTTCCTGCCTTGGAGCCCGCAGACCTTGGGCTGAACCCTCCGAAACCATAAGCCACAATGAACTTCTCCCCAAAGCTGCGTGTCAGGATTTTGTGCTGGCAATAGAAACGTGGCCAGTGCAAGTACGTCTTACCTGAGACGTGAAACCTGCACTGGCCCTGATGCTCCCCTGAGCTGCAGAGCAAGAACATGAGGCGAGTCCACGGCCCTCCTTGTCTTCCGTGTCTAACCACTGATGATGCCCCTGGCAGGTGACTCCCCAGAGGCCTCCTGCACCCACCTGGGCTGGCTGTTGGGATTCCTTGAGTTGGATGGGAGCTCAGTACACATCAGTCTTGAGTCTTCGTGACACTTGAGGCATTAGTCATAGCAGGACGCCCGTGTCATAGTTAAGAATGCTTCAGAGGGGCTCACAGGGGAGCCCCTGCTCCAAGAGGACACCCCCAGCCCAGCCCAGCCCTCCCTTGCTCTCTGCCTCGATGTCACCATCTCACACTCACACACACACACACACTCATACACTCATACACTCATACACACCCTGGCTCTCACACACGCTCATGCTGGTTCATAACCCACACACGGCCACCTGCCCACTGACTCACAGCCATGCAGTCACGCACACACACTCACACCATGCTTCCTGGGCAGCCTGAGAGTGCCCCATTACCCTCTTGGTGCCCAGGTCCCCCTGAGAAGGAGCCGCAGCCGGGCCTGTGCCTTAGGAAGCCTCTGGGCTGGCTGTAGAGATGCACGCCGTCACCCCAGCCGCTGGGCAGGTGGAGGCAGGATCACAAATTCAATCCCAGTCTGGCCAATTTAGTGAGACCTTGTCTCAAAAAATTTTTTAAAATTATTTTTTAAAGGGCCATGGATACCGGGCATGGTGGCACACGCCTATAATCCCAGCACTTGGGAGGCTGAGGCAGGAGGATCATTGCGAGTTTGAGACCAGCCTGGGCTACAAAGTGAGCTCAAGGCCAGCCTGAATTGCATAGCGAGACCCTGTCTCAAAAAGACAAAAAAAAATTTAAAAATAAAATAAAAAAATAAAGAGCCACGGATGTAGCCCAGTGACAAGGCCCTGGGTTCAATCCCCAAAAGTGCAAAAAAGGGGGCCCTCGAGCCCCCCTTTGTTTTCCTCCATTATCCTCTCTCCCTCTCTCTCTCCCCCTCTCTCTCTGTCTCCCTGTCTTTCAGTTGGGCAGCCTTCTCACGCACCTGGGTGCAGAGCTGGGGGCGACAATGTCTGAAGTGCCCTCGCAGGGCCACGCCCCCACTGCCCTCCTTTCTGCACTGCTATGACCCCAGTCCGCTTCTCCCTTCCCTCCTGCCCTACAGCCGGACCCGCCCTGACCCCTGACCCTCAGGAGCGGGGCAGCAGGCCATTGGCCAGGCCTGGAAGGACTTTCCTGTCCCCCGGCTAGTCTGCCCTCCCCAGAAGCACCAGCAGGATTTCAGGGAGCTCGACGCCCAGGGGTGACCGTCCTTGGGATTCTGTTCCAGGGCTGTCCTGCCTCTGCCTCCCTACCGCCCCTCTGGCCATAGCCCTGCTCTCTGCCCCAGCCACCTGGCGCTGGATCCAAGCATGGGCTCTGAGAGCCACTCAGGGGCACTGAAGGTGTCCCCTCGGCCCTCGGGCCCTCAACCTGAGATAGGAGGGCGTCTGGGGCCTCACTCAGCCCAAGAAGGGGGCACAGGGGAGAGTCTAGCAGATGAGGGTGCGGCCATGAGCTCACAGGGAGTGGGAAACAGCACAGGAAGCGGGGGAGGCCTTCGCCTTCCAATGCTGCCACCCTGCCTCAGCCTCCGGCCCCGCCCCGCCCCGCTGAGCCACAGTTGTCCTTCGGGGTGCGGGTGCCAGGAAGGCCCAAGCCCGCCCTACTCTGGCTGGTAAGAGACCCCTGTGCCGGAGGCCCTGCCGGCCCCCACACCGGCCTCCATCCCGGCAGGCCGGCTCCAGGGACAGAGCTCAGGGAGGGGACCGCCGGGCACCCTCCGGCCTGGCCCACCGGGGCCTCCCTTGGGGTGGGGGAGGAGGAGGAGCGGGCAGGGTGCCCTGTGCTCCCGGCCCCCGCCCCGCCCCGCCCCGCTTGGCCGCGGTGGCCGGCAGGAAGGGCCCGCGGGCCATCCGTCAGGGAGACAGAGCGGCCAGCACTGCCCGGCCGAGGAGGGAGCCGGGAAACCTGAGCACTGAGAAGCCCTCCTGGCTGTCTGGGGGAATTTAATTAAATTGCTGGAGAGGCTGCGAGAGGGGCCACATCTGGAACCAATGTGTGGGCTTCGATCCCTCCCTCCCCTCTGCTCCCCGACTCGCCGCTGTGAAAGGGAACCCGGGGAGGCCTGGGAAAGTGGCGTCCTGTCCCGCGGGCCGGGCTCCGGCAGACGGCGAGGGGGACGGCAGAGACCGGAGCGGGAGTCAGGCCGGGCGGGAAGAAGGGGCCGCGTGGCCGGGCTGCAGGGCAGGGTGGCTGAGGACGGGGGCGCACGGCCATTTCACAGGTGCGGACAGGGAGTCCCCGAAGGCAGGGCTTCTGGAGGATCGCAGGCCCGCTCAGGCGCCCTCCCTCGCCTCTGCCCTGCCTGACAGGCGGGGAGGCCCCGGCTGGGCAGAGCCCGTGTCCCTCTGTGTAGGGGTGAGGGAGGTGACTCTCTCCAGACGTCTGGGCTCGTGGGCGGCAGCGCCAGGATGATGGTGGTGGTGATGACGGGTTGGGTACTAGACACTGAAGCTTCGCATTGAGCTTCATGCCTGGCCCGTCCCTCCCTTTTTTATCTTGGGACAGGGTCTTAGGTCTCCAGGTTGCCCAGGCTGGGCTGCGGGCCTGGACCCCCGGCCTGGACCCCGGGCCTCTCCGGCAACACCCCCACACCGGCTGCTGCTTGCTCCGTGCTTGCTGGTGTCAGGCACAGGGCCGGGCTCTATGGCAGTGGCAGCGTGGACACGAGGTGCTGGCAGGGACAGGGACGGGACCGGGACGGGACCGGGACGGGACAGGGACGGGACAGGGACGGGACAGGGACGGGACAGGGACGGGACAGGGACGGGACAGGGATGGGACAGGGACGGGACCGGGACGGGACAGGCCAGCCTTGCCTGGGCAGCACTGGAAGCTGCTGCGGGTCAGGAGCTGACCGCAGGTGGGAGCAGAGGGGGTGGGCTCTCTGGCCTGTGAGTGTGGGTGTCACCTTTGGGCACGGGAACGGGGAGAAGGTGGCCCCCGGGTCCCCAAGGCGGAGTCTTGGCCCCAGCCTCTCTTTCAGCCAGTTTCTGCCCCTGCTCCAAAAGCTTCACCCGTCCAGGCCCAGATCCGTGGCCTGAGCGGCTCCCGGCTCTGGCCAACGGGGCGGTGGGACACAGCCTGGGGTGACACAGACTCGGGGCCCTGAGGAGGCCAGCTCTGCACCCTTTCTTTCTCCTTAAGCCCAATCCCGGCTCCTAAAAGCCAGCTCCAGGCTCCCTGCTTGTGAGTGGCGTTGGTCTGCACAAGGACGCCTCTAGCGGGACACTCACCCCGGACAGCTGGGCCCGGCCGGCTCCACCTGGGCCCCAGTGTGTCCCTGCAGTCCAGCCACAGCAGGCAGAGCAAGGGGCTTGACGAAGATCTGTGCGACAGATGTCCCAGGTCCTCGGGGCCTGCAGAGTGGTTTAAAGATTTGACTCAAGGCCCCTGGAATCGAGGGGAAACTGAGGCACGGTGAGACGTGGCCTGCTGAGTACGGCTCCTCCTTCCCTGGAGAAGCCCCCTCCCCACATCTCCCCCACCCCCGTGAGCCCCTGATCTTCTCGCTCTCTGTTTTGCTTTATTGTTGAGACAGTATCTCACTGTGTTCCAGGCTGGCCTTGAACCTGCAATCCTCCTGCCTCCGCCTCCCAAGTGCTGGGACCATGAGCCACCGCAAATGGCTTCTCATTCCTTTGTTCTTTCTCAGTCTCAACTCAAAAACCTCCAGGGGTTGGCTCACCACTCCACCCAGTGTGGGCTGGGGGCCCTGAGTTTCAATGTGGTCTGGGTAAGAGCAGAATGGGTCCTGTCCCCCTGCCCTGCTACAGCTCCCAGAGCCAGGAGGATGGTGATGGTGGCTGTCACTGGAGAAGTGGCCTGCAATAGCAGATGTGGCCACACAACCATTCGACATAAAAGACTGATAAAGACAGGAGGGCACTGGGGTGGTGGGGCATCCGGCGCACAGGAGGCTGA